ATCATTGATTCCCACCCTGAAGTTAAGGCAAGCTGAATCCCCATCCTGAGTATCATCTAGTATGTTAATTCTCATATTCCTGGAGGGCACCTTCCAGAACAACAGTGAAATTACTTCCTCTGTTATTCTCAGAAGCAATTAGATAACAGAATGAATCAAGCCAGGGCTTTCACTTTTCTGAATATACATATAGTAAGAAATTGAGTGTCCATGGCTTTGCGTAATTCTTAGATGCACTAGAATTTGGCCTAACCCAAATCAAATGTCTAAAGCCAGCTGTCCGAAGTAATGCCTCAAAGCCAGTATTTCAACCCTAAAATTATTATTTTCCATCACATTTATCACAAAAACCCGTAACTGAATTAAATGTTTCAATTTACATTTCAACATCAGTTTGCATGGATTAAATATAGGTGCTGCCACACAATGCCTGTGCATTTTATATGAGACTCTAGGATAGATTTATAACAACCCAGGCCATTTTATACAACCATATGGCTCAACAACTGAAAGGCAGCATGGCTGACATCTACAGAATTTTTTCCTCGCCAACGTGCATCAGTTCTTCATCATCAAAAGCAAGGCAGAGGTAGAAACCTACGCCAAAAGCTAAGCTGCCGAAATCTCCTTGTAATTACAGTTTATAATCACCTTTGATGCCCTGAGGAACTTCATTAATTGAATGTGCCTGTTCAAGAATCATTTTAGTATTTAAAAATCCCATTCCTTACACCTATTAGAACAAAAGCATGCCACCAATGTTCCACATGCCCATGCTTGCATGCTGGAGAGCACTACTCAGCCTCATTCAGTCTCAAGTCTTGTTCTGAGAACATTAAAGAGATTTTTCTAAATGCACTTGAGATATCAACAAGCCATTTTCCATCCCTGCAAACCAAAAGGCATATGGAGTTACAGCTCTCAGCAGAACTGGTCACTGCTCCATCTGCTTGCGTGCAATAAGGTTGGAGAAGACTGATTCATCCCCAAAGTGTCCCCAGAGAGGTAACGTGCTGTGCAACTACACTCCTCGGGCTGTGCCGAGATAACATAAACCACCCTCCGAGGCAGAAGCAAAGCCCTGTGGAAAAAAAGTTCAGCAGAGTACCCAACACCATTACGAGGACTCAGCACCCACCCACGCCACTGAACTACAGGCATGGGGTGAGCAAGAGCCCCCATGGGCTCCTGATGTGGCCGATGGAGAGGGTGATGCACAGCCTTAATGGGCTGAACCGGCTTCTCGAACCTCTTCTCTCTCTTCCCACAGGCTTAGGAGACTGGTACCTAACAAGCAAGTAGGAAGAATCTGGTCTTGAGGGTCTCACAGAAAGACTCTGAAGTCAAGGGACACCTTCTCCTCTATTTAATAGCCTCTAGATGAGGATGCTCAGAACTACAAAATGTCTACAGTCTATTACAAGGCACCCTAGTGCAAGCTTGTGCACTAGGAACTATTTGCTAGAAATGAGTCAGCTGTTCATTGAAAAGTAATATCATCAGCAATAAAGAAAAAAATGAAACAGATGAGCTGGTTTAAGCTTAGCAGCTTCTCATTTTAATTAGTAGATATTTATTTATCTCAAGTTTCCCCTTAACCTCAGTTTGTTTGTAGTAAGAAAGGAAAAGTAATTCTGGTGAATAAACACTGATATTTAGTTACATAAAATATTCTACAAGCATGCGCATTACAAATAAACTCAACCTTAAATCTGTGTGTTATGACTAATTTCAGACTTGAGTTTTATCCAAAAAAAGAGCATGGAAAATCTTGACACGCACACCTCTGTCTCTAAACAGACAAACTAGAAAGGGCAAAAGGCGGCAAACCAGTAGCTTCTACAAGCTGGGGGTGGGAGATTGAGGGGAGAAGGGGGGGATTTAAGTGAAACAACAAAAGGGTTTGTATAAAAATAATTAACTCATTTTAATGTAAATTTTTAAAAGTGTGTTTTCCTGGAAAAATCATTGGGTGTACATTCCATCTACGTAAGTTTGTGTTAAAAACATTCTCTATTGGGACAAAGAAACAAGAGGAGTACATTAACTAGAGAAAGCTAAAGTGAAGGATTTATTTTTTGCTTTTTCAACAAAGAGAAAGCTAACAGAGGACTTAGAACATAAAGAAAAAAATAAGTAATTTTAAGAAAGGCTGGATTATCTTTCTTAAGATGGAAGGAATAAAAAGCAAAAAGAAATTTTTTTTTTATTATTTATAAAGAGTATTGCTGGAAAGCTAACCCCCCCCCCCCCCCCCCCCCCCGACTCCAAACCACTGCAGGCAACGCCAGAGATGTCTTACTTCACTGAGCTGTGTTGCTGGGAGACTGGGTTAGGCAAACACAAAGAAAGAAGCCAAAAGATTAAATGAGATGACGACTATTACCATATTTCACAGTCAAATCAGATGACACTTCAATCCAGGAGAGCTATAAATCCAAATAATTTTTCAAAATGAATTTGAAGACTCCTCAGAGAAAACAGTTTGCCTTAAATTACCCAGGACATGAAAATAAATAGTGTCTCCAAAGCTGTTAAAGCTGTAGCCCCTGAGATACCTTTTTTCACTACCATCTTCCCCAGAATTCTTGATACTAGATACAAAACATGCTTTTGGTGAAGAATGAGGTACTGAGTGGGTCTAAAGGATTATAAAGGATACCAAAACACCAAACATTGTAAGGAAAAAAAAAAGGGGGAAAGAAAAAAAAAGAACCCAAAACATGCCACTTTTCTTCTCCACATAAAATTACACCAAGATCATAGAATCACAGAATATCTCAAGTTGGATTTGACCCATAAGGATCATCGAGTCCAACTCCCTGCTCCTCCCAGGACTACCTAAAACTAAACCTTATGACTAAAAGCATCGTCCAGACACTCCTTGAACTCTGACAGGCTGGGGACCACTTCCCTGGGGAGCCTGTTCCAGTGAACCTGTTCCAGTTCCAGCCTGTTCTCACCCTCTCAGTGAAGAACCTTTTCCTGACTTCCAACCTGAACTTCCCCTGGCTCAGCTTCATTCCATTCCCTCGTGTCCTATCGCTGGTCAGCAGAGAGAGGAGATCAGCACCTCCATCTCCGCTGACCCTTGTGAGGAAGCTGTAGCCTGCGATGAGATCACCCCTCAGCCTTCTCTTCTCCAAGATGAACAAGCCAAGTGACCTCAGCTGATCCTTCTAAGTCTTGCCCTCGAGACCTTTCACCATCTTGGTTGCCCTCCTCTGGACACACTCTAATAGTTTGATGTCATTCTTATATTGAGGGGCCCAAAACTGCACCCAGTACTCAAGGTGGGGCCACACCAGTGCAGCGTAGAGTCGGACAACCACCTCCCTCGACCAGCTAGCTATGCTGTGCTTGATGCACCCCAGGACACAGCTGGCCCTTTTGGCTGCCAGGGCACACTGTTGACTCATATTCAACTTGCCATCAACCCAAACCCCCAGATCTCTTTCCACAGGGCTGCCCTCCAGCCTCTTGTCCCCCAATTTGTACATATAACCAGGGTTACCCCATCCCAGGTGGAGAATCCGGCACTTGCTGTTGTTCAATTTCATAAGGTTGGTGATTCCCCAGCTCTCTGGTCTATCCAGATCTCTAGATGAATGTCTTATTTCAAGATTCAGCTATCAGTAGTAACATTATAGCCAGAGTTTTCTTAATTTTCTTTTTCCCATAATGGAGGCTACGGTGAAGGAAGTTTGGGTCTTTAAGGCATGCTAAGCCTTATACCCCGTCTTGAACAGTAAGTGACAGTCATGACTGCTGGGATCCTCAACTCATCATCTTTGTATGCCTCATTATTCCTCAGCTATCCTGATGCCTGCATGACAGCTTTACTTTTGGCCAGGAGCAAGGCAGAAGCAGAGCTTCTAAGCAACGGAAAGAACCTCTTAAAAAGGCAAGCTGGTACCTCACACAGCCACACCTTCACCTGAGACCTTCCATCAAAGTAGTCTTTTTAATTGTATTCTTAGTCAGTAAAGTAAATTAGGTTGACATGACAGGCTGGACCATCCAGGCCAACGCAAACATGTCTTTGAAGTACTCTGACTACTTCAGTAGCTGCCTGGGAGGTACCACAGCAACAAAGACCTGATGAAGCTTTCAGGAGGCTTGCATTGGACTGCCTTGGAGAAGAACAACCAACACTGGTAGCATGGACCACCTGTGAAATTAAAATCCTCAGGAAAATGGAAAATCAACATTTTAGAGAATAAAGGGATTTGCAGGTTAAGAAAAATGATGCCACTGCAGTCAGTGGGAGAACTCAAGACCTTCAGAAGGACAACTTTACCCCCAATCTTCCTCACAGCTAGTTCTTGTTCAAAAAATTTGCTTTTCCAGAGGTTAAAAATCAGCAGAGGAACTGTCAGACGTTATCGCTTAGTTCCAATAAAGCAGTTGAACAATAAATGGCAAGACCTGTGTGTAAAACACACTTGTGAACTTACTGAAACAGGGATTTACGAACACTCTTTGTCTCTTATACCAGTATCAGAATCAGGGTACGACTGCGAAGGCAGCTTTTCCGCGTGACTTGGAAGCATACAGGGATATGATCAGCAATGAAAAAAAAAATACACTTCAATATGACAAAACCCCAAAAATGTTATTATAAGAAATTAAAACAATAACACAATTACATTTGAATCAATTCAGCATGTCACCTCAAAGACAAAGTACAGCATAAAAACAAGCTGTACTAATAAGTACTAACAAAGTACTAGTACTGAATCTTTCTGAATTTTTAATGCCTTCTATCATCTTCTTTTGAAGCAACTGTTATCTAACATTCTAATTTCTGATAAAAAAACCCACAGAAACAAAATTGTCAATAGCTGATGTGATATCATTCTGATACATTATACTATTTCCAAATAAAGGATATTTTCTTTCCAAATAGAGGAAAATAAGAAGCAATTCAGAGGATTCTTGATTTTCTTAGTAACAGTCTATCCACAGCTTTCAAGACCAGTATTATAGTGGTTCCATACCGTAAAGCTGTTGTTGACATTTTTTGTGCTCGATTCAGCTACGCTGGCATCTGACAGGTCAACTTCATCAAATATTAGAGACTGTGAATGGAAAAGAACATAAAAACATTAAATATAGTCTGAGTCCACTTTCAGGTATGCTTACAGTCTGTGCTTTCATTTTCTTCTGTCCATTCCTACTGGAAAATAAAATAAGAAAAAAAAAAGTAGTGAAAAAATTGGAAACACTGATGATGTGATAAAACTTCATATTTCACCCCTAAACACAGTCCTATTTGCTGTCTAAGTGGTGCATGAGAGCATAAAAAACTGGCTCCAAAAATATACATTGCTTTAAAATCTCTTTTAAAGAATTTTTTTTTTAAATAAATGCAGCTTTGTGGTGTCTACTGTGTAGCATAAATGTGGTGTCAGAGGAAAGAGATTCACACTTAGCAGAATATAAATTAATTAATCAGTTTTAGGATGGAACTCTAAATTCATGAAGGGCAATCTATGATATGGCAGCCATATGAGAAAAAACAGCTCAAGGGCCTGAAGAGATCCCTTCCACTCCTTTGTCTGATGTTCCAGCAAGAGAAATATATGTCTTCTTTAAACACCCCAGCCTCTGGCAAAGAATTAATTAGGTTCTGTTAAACTCATGATGGATTTTGAAGCACAGAAGGGAAGAGCAACAAAAATGCCTCCCCCTTTTTTTAGCCATACCATGTTCTTCGTCTTCCATGCCATGGGACAGAGAATCGATGTTGGGGGAGTTTCAGCATGTCTGGATTCAACATTACAGAGTATTTGTACAATTGCCTACTCATTACACCTCCTTTTCTCATCTTTATGGCACAGATGACGTTGCCATTCTCAGAGTTCTTATCTGCCATGTTTATTAAGTCTTTATATAGACCGCTCGTGGTAGCGCCATGTGCAGAGAAGTGTGACAACAGAGGTACTTCAGTGCTGGGCTCCCGGGAGAGATGATGTTTTCCTTGATTCGTCCCAGCCACACAACTGTGCACCATGCAATTATAGTCAAACAGTCCTAGAAAGAGACATCTCCATGCCTTAGTAATAGTTTTATTGAGAAAACCAAGCTACACAAGATGATGGAGACCTGAAGCACCTCACATACATCTCCCGGCAGACGCTGCAACCCCGCAGCGTAAAGAAAACTAATGCCCACCTCTACGGACCAGCACAATCTGAGCCAGCCCAAAAAGCCAAAATGCTCTCAGTCCCGGCCCTGAGGGGGAGGGAGCAAATGCTTTCAGAAAGAAGACAAGTAGTCCCCTCTGCCCAACCCCAATTTTCCCACCAAAAATTTCAATTGATGGGAAACAGCTTTTTCCCTTATATATGAGTTTTGGCAGAAAATCTTCCTATCTTGATTTCACATAACCATTTCCATCTCTTTAACAGCAATATGGGCATCAGACTAGAAGAGTTTTAATGGCATTCAGTTTGAAGGATAACTTCTGAACATTATCCAATTTTTACTTTTCTTTTTTTTAATTGTTAGATTTGGCTGCCTGAGAGCCACCCCCCCGAAAAACCCCACAACTCCTTAAGTTATTATTTGTGTGAATAGTCAGAAAGGTTAAAATAACTGTGACAAACTTCACTGAAAAAAAAAAATAAAGAGAAATCACCAGTCTTCCTTAGTTAAAGTTAATTTAACACACTACATCCCATAAAGAGCAGTTTTTTAATACAACAATCACTAACAAATCATTAAATTATTATTATTATTGCACTTATAAATCTAAACAAAACGGCAGTTACAAGTGTATGGCATTAGACACTAATAGCATAGAATTACCTTTGAATCCTTAGCATAGTAAAGGGTACGACCTCGAAGTTTGAAATAACGCTTTTTCCACCTCTGAAAAGAACTGGTTTGCTTCAGTAGTAATCCTTCTTTTATACTTGTCTGAAAAATATGAAAATACAGAAGATAAGGTAAATACATATCTAAATAGCTACACATATAAATGAAAGTTACACTTTTAAAAATTTATGTTCCACCTGATGTAACTACGAATTTATATTTGTTATCTATTCACATTAAATTGAGACTAATTCTCTGGACAACCAGACTTTGCATTGCTATTTTTTAAACAACAACAATGTTGGCAAAATGCTAATTTTACACGTAAATCAAAAAGGCAGTCAAGAGGCATGTAATTATTGTGAAGATGAACACAAATAATTCAGTTGTCTGGATAGCTGCAAACCCACAAATATTAAAGTAAGCAACAACTGATGGTGGCACAATTCAGACAAAAAAAACAATGCTAAAAACCATCTACACAAGGTCATTTCCAGCTCCAAATTTGATTATGTTGAGGGGAAAAACAATTTCCACATAGGCAGTAATTCAACAAGGTAATTAAATGTGTGTCTGATTCAAGCACATGATTTATGCCTTTAAAATAGAGGGAATGATCCAGTATGATGCAAGTCATGCATGACTTCAAGTGCATTGCTGAACTGAAGCCTTCAGCATGAAATCAGCTTACCATTAGGAATAATTATTATACGGAAAGTGTGAGAACAGTAACAGCTAGCATATTTTTACCCGGCAAATATTTTTAGTCAAAAAACCATTTGCCAATCCAAACCTTTCCACTGCAGACTGAACCCTGCCTACATAAAGCCCATTTTTTTAAGTAAGACACAAATTAGTATATTTTAAACGTGTATGCTGCTTTCCCCAGCGTGTGTGGGATTCATCCAACCGATGACAGAAATTCTCCACTTAATCAGATGAAATGACATGACGCAGCATACTAATTGCATGAGTCTCAAAATTCATTTTCTTCAGCTTTGAAACACACAAAGGGTATGAGAAAAAGCAAGTACATTTGGATATTATATTCCAAAATGGTCTCTAATATTTCCAGAATATTTCCAATTTGTAGTGTAATAACATGATGTGAATCTTATAATACAATTTCTAGACAATGGGATATAAACATAACTTGAAGTTATTCTAGAGCTTTTAGAGACTTAACTGAGACCGTCTTGTTATCAGATGTCAAATTCTCCTTAACTTTAATGCAAGTAATAAAAATACAGAAAAAAACAGAAAGCACTTTAACATTCCTACTGTTTCCTTGAATTGAGAAACATTGCTATTACATACATACGTCGCAACCTTTTTTTAGATACTCCTAATGTCACAAACTAAGAATATGGTCCAACGATCACAAAGCAATTGAATTAATGCTCTCAAAAAAGCAACCCTCTCAGATGAAACTTCACAGCTGAAAGTTTGGATTTATCTCACTTCACATGCCAACAACCTGGACCAATGCATTCGGTCAGCCCTCCTGCTCTAGCTAAGGGGTAGCAATTCCCAGCTGAAAGGGTCTGCTCACCACACACCATTTCAAGATTGCTTGCGATTTTCTAACCAGACCCTAAGATAAGCTAGTTTTACCTGATATAAATAGATTTAATCAGTTCGCAAATACAAGCACTTATTCAAAGCTGTCTGTTGTAGTCGTGCAGCACTTCTGTTTCATATCGCTCTCTGAGATTTCAGAAGCTCGTCACATGGGATGGGATTAGATGACTTGTATGTTTATCAAGGGTCGGAAGATGTAAGACCAGAGAAATTCAGTTCCAAGGAAACAGTACTCCACATACACGGCAGGCACTGGCCTACTGGAAAAAATTTCTAACATGGAAGGAAATCCATTTACCCTAAAACTTGCTGTATATACTAGAAGACACAAAACATACATTATAGTGAATATTTTCAGGATTTTTAAAATCTGTTCAGAGAACATAAATATCCCTAAACCTTGAGCTGTTACTCACTAAAGAATTAATTAACTGTTCCATGTAATTTTTATGCCTACCTAAGCCATTTCCCCCTATTTCTACCCACCCTTTAAAACAGCAGTATCCCTAAAATCAAACCAATAACTTCAAAATTGAACCTATTTTGCAAATCAGCCATTTAAAATTAACTCCCTAAAGTTGGCAGTAAATAACAATGCAGGCTCTACAGAATGTAATTTTGTATCAAAATGTTAAAAAAAATACTAGACTGGTAAACATTTACCCAAGAAATGTAAGCACTTCATAAAGTATACATCTGAAGTTTACATTTTACCACCAATAGATATACTAGGCTGAGGCTTGAGCATTTGAAATAGACAATTCCATGGCTGCAGGCATCAAAATTGAGCATAAAGCTTTGGCCCAATACCCTCAATTAACTTCATTTAGCCTTTAAAATGTGCAAAAGACTTCCAGCTGCCAACTGAGTCATTAGGTAATCTGCTAATAATGTTTTCCTGAATCTACACACAACTCACAGCACTTACAGTAATTTGAGATTGGAAGGGACCTCTCAGGTTGTTGAATTTGGGTCCGCATTGTTGACTTCAACTAGGTCACATAAAGTTTTTGAAAAGCATTGATTGGGCTATAGCTACACCTTAAGAGAGTGATCGGTATCTTTTCCTCTCCCAAAGGCAATTAAGACAGTGCTCCAAGATCTAACTGTTCTGAGAAACCTTCTTCTAATTAATCTCAGCTGGACATTAAATCTGAAGCATAAGCAATAATCACTGCCAGTTATATTAACTACTTTCCTACTGTAATTTAGGAGAAACAAGAAGTGTACATCCCACAATTCCATGCTACTTCTCACTTTTACAGAATCACCTCTCATCTGCTTGCCAAAACCTGACTTCCCCATACAGCATTTTATATTATCTAGTGATACAACATCTCTCCAGAAGTATGGGGCTATAATTAGAACAGAACAGAACAGAATAGAATAGAATAGCATCACTATTATGGAATCATTAACAATCTTTACTGCTTTAGCCATTAACAATTATGAAAATGATTCAAAATATTAAAATCACATCACAGTGCTCCGCAGTAGTGTATTTTCCTGAAGAAATCTAATTATAAAAATCATAGCCACATCTCATAAATTAAGAAGGTGTACATATGTGTTCAATTATCCAGGAATGTTGAATGCAACTCTACATCACCATAATCTAAATGACAAAAATAAATGGCATTTGTGGG